TTATCATACTATTATTAATCGCTTATACAACAACAACAACAACAACAATAATAATAATAATAATAATAATAATAATACTTTTAAAAATCAATCAAAATCTCACTTATGAGGAGAAATTTTATACAGTACAAAATTTTCATAATTTTTCATTAAAATCAATAGACTTTCAAAGTTTATGAATTATTAAATACCTCAAAATTTTAAAAGATTTTTAAAAAAATCTTTAAAAGTTTGGATTGAATACCTCCAAATTTTAAAAAAATTTTAAAAATCTTGATTGAATACACTTATATTTTAAAAATTTAACAAAATTCTACGTAATCCGGATTGAATACGCCCGCCAAAATATATGTAAAATTACTAAATTATGTCTATAAAATCTACACCATTCAATTCGCCACGTAGAGAATCAAAAGGTTAATATTAAATAAATACACCAACACCCCAACCGCAACCCAAAATATCACATTGAAAGAATCAACATGTATAAAAAAGATAAAATATTTTAATTTTTTTTTTTCTCTAAATCTTCGTTATACGACCATCACATTTTATATAAAAATATCTTATTTCTATTTTAATAAAATATTACATCAAGCTATCATTTAATTACTCCCTCCGTCTCAGATATCATGTTAACGTTGCCGTTTCGGCCCATCCCACATACCATGCTATTTTTCTTTTTTTTTTTGGAAAATAATTACACACTTTAATCTCATTTTAAATTTTTAAATTTTATTTTTAAATTTTAATTAAACTAATTAGTTATCTTAATCTTAATTTATAATTATTTATATTATACGATAATTATTTTCACTAATATATTCTTAATTATCTATTAATTATACCCCTCCTAAAATACCGTGTCTATAGTGTAGCAGACTCGGTATCTGAGACGGAGGGAGTAATATATAACACAAGTCCTGTTTTTATTTAAACTGTTCAATGTCGCAGCTCCTTATAAAAACATTTCAGATTTATTTCTTATAAAATATTTAAAAGATAATAATACCAAATATTGTAATAAAAATTTGAAGTAATTAACAAGAAGAATCCAAGAAATTCTTAAACGTTAAAAAGAAAAATTTAACAAATAGTTCACTGAAAAATAGAAATACATAATGTCAGTTTCCTCCCATTGGTTAGTCATTTATTTTTAGATTCTCTTTGACTCATGTAAAAAAAAAAAAAAAAAACAAAAACAAAAATAATAATTTAAAATTTAGTGAAGACAAATTCTACACAACGATGTGTTTATTTCATTATTTTTATATTTTATACATAATTTTTCATATTTTACATAATTTGTTTTTTCAACTATTTTATAAAACAAACACACTTGTATTATTTTTTGTATTTTTACGCTAGAAAAGACCAAAGGGTGTTTAACAAACAACTTTTTGAAGAGCTTTCAACTTATTTAACACATTTTAGCTGTTTGACCGATCAAAAAGCTAATTTAGGTATTTGGTAAATTAGCTTTTTGAAATAGTTTATTGGCCCCAAAAAACTAATTTTTAAAAAGCTTATATAACTCATCGTTTTGAAAGAACTTTTCAATTTAATTTTCTTTATTCCTTATTTGTCCTTAAAATGTTATTATTTATTTTACATACATATAAATATATTTTTCTACTGCGGTAATTATAAATTATTTTAATATATTATTTATTAAATTATAATTTTATTTTTATAAAATTAAAATAATTACTTTTATATATAATTAATTTTATTTGTAAACTCTATATATTTATTATAATAAAATAAAAACAAAAACATATATATTATTAATTTATTTTTATATTAAAAGTAAATAAAATAGAATAAATTTATTAAAAATTATAAATATAATAAATATATTTACAAAACTTTTATTATTTTATATTTTACATCATTTTTAATAAAAAATATTCATATTTCTTAATAAAAATATATACTTCTCACATCTAAAATTAATAAAAAAATATTTTATAACACATTCGTAATTTCAAATAACTAATAACAAAAATTTAAAAATTTTTAAAACTAAAAAAACAAAATTAAAAAATTTTAAAAATTAAAATATAAATGTTCTCAATTGTCATTCAACAGATAAACATCTGATATCAAATAATTATTTTTACCAAACACGCCTAATTGAATCATCTAGTTAAACTAGCTAATTGAATATATTAAATGCTAACAGCTAATTGAATTAACTAATAGTTAAAAAGTTATCAGCAGCTGATTGCCAAACACGCCCAAGTTCCATCGAGATTGTCATCATTTTTTTTTTTTTTTACTTCTACAATTAAGCAATTGCATGTTTCTTTGGATTGAAAAAAAATAAAATAATAATAGTAATAATAATAATTGAATTATTGGGAGCCATCCATAAGTAATTTATTGTATATGCTCTTATACAAACCATCCAACCACCAAACCACAACAAATATATATAGTTATATTAAGTAAAATTTTGAATTGTTTGTATTTTAAATAATGAAATTGAAAGTTTATTTAGGGTGTGTTTGTTTGGGGTTTGGATTTTGAGTTGGAATTTAAATAGTAAAAATTTTGAATTTAAATAGTTGTACGATGCGATATAAATAAGTGTTGATGTGATATTTTGAATGTAAAATTGATTTTTAGTATAATATAAAAAATAAAAAATAGGTATTTGATTGGATATTTTTTAGAAAGAAAAAATGAGATAAATAGTATATTTAAAATCCAATCCCCAAACAAACACACCGTTACATGCTTATATAAATCGAATATGTAAAAATAATAACAACTTAATTTGAAATTATAGTAATTTAAAGTAAATAACTAATCAAATATCTAATATATCTTAACGCATTTCTAACACAAATACCCATTCATTAAAAATTAACTAAAAAATAAAAACCTTTTTTTTTTCGAGGTAGATCACATGTTGAAAATATTAATTCAGCACGATGAATTTTAATCATGACCTTTAATTTTAATATTAATCTTTGATTTTAAAATCTGCAATGCAAGTAAGCATATGATCCGGTGGAGAGTAATCTAGTTTTCGGTTCGGTGAAGTCATATTGTTTTCGGCTTCGAAAACAAGACAAATCTCCACCCGAAAACGAGATGACTTCATCGGAGCCGAAAACGAGATTACTCTCCACCGGAGCTGAAAATAGTTGACTCTCTACTGGAGCCGAAAACACATGATTCTCCACCGGAGCCGAAAACGACATGATTCCACCGAAGCCGAAAACGACATGAATCTCCACCGGAGTTGAAAATGAGATGACTCTCCACCGGAGACGAAAAAAGTTGACTCTCCACCAAAGCTGAACACAACATGACTCCACTGGAGACGAAAACAAATAGATCGCAAACATCATACAGATCGCACACAGACAACGGATAAACAAAGGACATATGTGAGATCGCATGCAGACAACAGACAAACAGCGTACAAATGGAAGATCGCAAAAATGTTTCAAATCGCATGCAAACAACAGACAAGCAGCAGACAGATGACAGATCGTAGACAAGTTTCAAATAGCATGCAGACAACAGACAAATAGAAGATCGCAGACAACTTTTAGAGGTTTTAGATCGCACGCAGACAACAGACAGATAACCTATAGATTTCAGATCGCACGCAAACAACATACAGATAACGGACAAATGACAGATAGTAGATAGATTTTAGATTGCACGCAGACAACAGACAGATGACAGGTAACATGATCTCAAAATCACTAGACATCCGGGTACAATCTAGATTGAATTTACCCGAGAAACACAGGTTAATAGACTATATCTACGACATGAGAAACATAAGCTATGATATCATGTTAAAAGTTTTGGGGGAAAATAATTATCAAAATAACGGGTTATATGCAATACAAAACAGACTCGATAAACTCAAATATAAGTAATCTAATTAATGGATAAGAATAAATCTAAATATAAATCTACTAAATTTAAAATTGAATATCTAAAATATCTCAACAAAAACTATGTAATATACCCTAAAAAATATTCCTAGACTTTATATATAAAGATAATTAGCTGATATCTTTTCAACACATTTTTTCCTTAGTTTAGGTTTTGCTTCACCATATGTGATTTATTTATTTATTTATTTTTATATATATTACTTCAAGTTACTTTGTCATATATAAAGAGCTGTTAACGAGCCTAGTCTAGTCAGATTTTAAGTGTTCGTGTTCATTCGTTAATATTCACGAATAAGGTTTGTATTTGTTCGTTAAGCTTTCGAGCTCGGCTCGTTAAGAATTTTTATTGTTTGAGCTCGTGTTCGTGTTCGTTTTCGGCTCATTTCAAGTTAATGTTCGGCTCGTGTTCGTGTTCGTGTTTGACTCGATTAAGCTCGTTCAAGTTCGTTTGTCTCATTTTTTTAAATTTATATATAAATTCAAAAGAAAATTTAAAATTATTTTATTTATTTATTTTAAATCGATACTTTATTTATTTATAAATAATAATTTTATATGTATATATAATATTTATAATAAATATATTATTTTAACGAACATTCGCGAACAAAGCTCGAGCTCATTCGTTAACCAAACGAGCTTATTTATGTTGTTCGGCTCGACTCGTTAATATTCGCAAACAAATTTTAACCGAGCCGAACCGAGTTGAGTTCACGAATGGCTTGATTCATTTAACAACTCTAGATATATACCCGATTGAAGGTTTCGCTTTATATATATATGACCCTTAAATAAATAAAAATAGTGGCCAAATTGTAGTAGACATAAATCTCTTCCACTCCCTTTGTACATGCATACAATCCACACTACTCTTTCATCCCCTTTTCCCCTCACCCTCCCCGAAACCTTTACTCATCTTCCCCACCCCCCTACCCCCACCCCCACCCCCCTCCCACGAGACTTACATGCCTTTCCTTCACTATAAACACCCCTAAACACACCTTCTTCTTCTTCCCCTTACTTCTCACTTTTTATTTTTATTCCATAATAATTTTTCCCAATTTTTCAATTTGCATGGACGTGCCGCGCGGCGGCGGTGGAGACGACGGCACGTCGGAGAACCGCCGGAGGGGGCCGGGGAAACGGGGCGGCGTTGCCCCGGCTCCGCCCCTGGACGGAGCGGCGCACGCCCCCTGCGGCGCGTGCAAGTTCTTGAGAAGGAAGTGTATCAGTGGATGCATATTCGCCCCCCATTTCGGATCCGATCAGGGGGCTGCGCGGTTCGCCGCGGTCCACAAGGTGTTCGGCGCCAGCAACGTGTCGAAGCTGTTGTTGCACATTCCGGCTAACCGACGGCACGACGCCGTCGTCACGATTTCGTATGAGGCCCAGGCTAGGCTCTCCGATCCTGTCTATGGCTGTGTCTCTACAATTATTGCTTTGCAACAACAGGTTTATATCTATATCTATATAGTATATTCTTATATATATATATGTAGGGATTTTTTAATTTTTTTATTTTTTATGGAAATAAATACTATTTTCGTAACTTTCTTTTACGTTTGCATGAACTGAAAAAATGGCAACTTTCTTGGACGCATGGTTGTGACACACAAAATAAATAAATAAATAAAATTTAAAAGACTAATATAAGTTTGAAAAAAAAAAAAAATTATTTGGCTGTGGCTTAAAATGAATTTGAAATATAACATTCATTTAAATTTTTATTTAAATAATATTTTTAAATAACAGTATGAAATCACAATTAAACAAATTAAATAAAAGTACGTGTGGAGTTTAGTTGCCAAATTTAAATGCAAAAAATTGAAGATTTGAAAACTTATTTTAAATTTTAATTTGGATTGATGTTTTAGAGGAAATATATATATACTATATATGATTTTGGATATTATAGTTTATATAGATGAAATATTTTACTATGGCAAAAACAAAATTATCATTCATCAAATATAAACAATTTTACAATGGGCTTATAACTAAATAAATGGTATAGAATTAAGAGTATTAGCATAGTTTTTTTTTTTTTTTTTTTTTGTTAACTATTTCGAGTTTTAATATTTTTAAGGGTTGTTAGATATTATGTTTTGTATAAAAAATGTGTTGAATGTAATTTGTTTAGAACCAAAAAAAAAGAAAAAATTAAATACTAGAAAAGTAGGAAATATATCAAAAATTTTGAAAGTAAAGAATGATTATAATTAAATGGAAAATTTTTATATCTAAATGATATATACATTTTTCAATTTTCATGATTATATACGCAGATCCTATGATGAGTGGGTCAAATCAATATGACTCAATCGGCATATATAATAAATATAGAGATGACAATAGGTCCGGGTAGATTTGAGACCCGACCAGATCTAACCTATTTATTTGAAGGTGGTCCAACTATTTGGGGGGTATGAGACCAGGTGTTGTGTATCCTTATTAGATCTTGGTCGAATCTCGTAAGGGAACCAGTACAAAAAAAATATCAATTTTGTAACAATATTTTTTTGTTCTTAAATCTATTTTTTCCGTTACTAATGATATTAGAGACAAAATTAGGGATGAAATTACGTTAGTTACGTGAACTTTAGAAACAGAATTCCATTACAAATATACTAAAGTTCACGTAGCTAACGTAATTTCTTCCCTAATTTCGTCTCCATTATCATTAGTAACGAAAAAAATGGATTTAAGAACGAAAAAATCTTGTTACAAAATTGATATTTTTTTATAGTGTGAATTTGATCAGGACGTTATTAATTAATTAATAATATATAAATTATATATATAAATAATTTTTAACCATATAAATTTTAATAAAAATATTAATTAATTTATTATAATATCTTTGAATAAAATTTATAAATTATAATATATGTTGAGTCTGGATTTAGTCCAATTTTAAGAATTGTAAAATTTTATCTAGTCCATATATGGGTATTATCGGGTCCGAGTATAACCGAGTCCAATTCGAGACTCAGATCCAACAATATGTATTCGGATCCACACCCGACTTATTATCATCCCTAAATAAAAATATACAACATATATTATACATAGTATAATATATTTATAAAACAATATAGTATATTTTATTATAATTCAGTATATGATATGTAAAAATATATTTATTATCTTTTATTATATATGTTGATTAAATTCAATCAGCACCGTACCCTTAAATATAATATTAAACTCCGCCGAGAAAAAACAAAGTAAATGTAAATGTATTCCTTCATTTTCTATTACATATACATATATATATGTATTCAGGTGGCATCACTTCAAGCAGAGCTATCAGTTGTTCAAACACAGCTAATAAACAGCAGATTTCTAATGGCGAATGCTCTTCAAAGCTCCCCTCATCAGCAACATCAACATCAACAACAGCAGCAAACGGCGCCGATCGGCGCAACGTCCATGGTGCAGCCAGCTTATTCTAACACTTCTTCCGCGTCGAATAACCTCGTCAGTATGCACAGTTTTGGCCCCAGCTATGGTGACACTGCCCCCTCCAACAGTTTTGATCCCATTCCTCATTTGTCGACAGCCGCTGCCGGAGGCGGCGGCGGCCGCCACCTCGAAGACGAAGAAGAAGAAGAAGAAGAAAGCCATGATCCTCTTGCTTTTGCTAATCACATTTTTCACTGAGGATGGAAAAATTAAAATACTTACTTACCAATTTATGGATCCAATAAGAAGCTAGTGTTCTAACAAATTAAAAAAAGATTAGAACTGGGGTTTTTACTGTTGTTTGAATAGTAGTTAAATCAAATGTGCGGGGAAATAGTAAGAAAGAATTACTGAGATTCGATTTATTTACCCAATTTTTCATCAAAGACTTTCATTATAGATTGTTTTTCACTATCCAAAAATAACACAGATCTGAAAAAGGGAAGACTGAAACAATATTCTTATGCTAATTTATAGGATCAGCATAGTGCCGATGCAATATATATGCTATTGATCTATTATTAATTTGGATGGTTGAGATTTCTTATAGAGGTTAAAATGTAATTATAAATTTTTTTAATAATAATTAATAATGCCAATTATAAATTTAGATAATTTTTTAGTTATGTGGATTTAATAATAATCTCGTATCGACTTCTATATGGAAATTTTTACTAATTTTGATAACAAAAATCACACCATTTTCATTGTTGAAGCTCTAAAGTAAACGATCCATTTATGAGTTCTCTCTAAAAATAAAGTTCAGTAATATAATAGAAACTATCCAAGCCATCATTTCTAGTACAACCGAACAACATGCATGTTCCAACATCGTCTCCAAATGCTGGTAAGTTTATCTATTTTGAAAATACACATATTTCGGATTTTTGTATGCATATTTTATTGTGAAAATATTTTCTATAATTATAAACAATATTTCTATTGCTATTGACAACATTAATGTGTTGTAAGTAAAGTATAATACATAGTTAATTGTTTATTGGATAGCATGGGTTATTTTGTTCCAGGGTAGACTTATGTAGACGACTATTTGCCTACTTTTTATTACATTATCCGTTCACAAACTAATATTACATTTTTCAATTTGAAACGTCCAATAATTATTGTTCTATTTTATTTTTTTACCATTTATTCAATTATCATTTTTATTTGAACATGTTTTCTCTACCTTACTATAAATAATAAAATTGTCAATTCATAACCAAAAAGTATTTACCTAAAAAATTGTGCAAATATGATTTAGGACAATACAATTTGGACGGATGGAGTATATTTTTGTGATCGAATTTCAAATCTTTGAAATTGTGCTAGGATAGTGAATATCCAATAAAGCATATTGTGTAGTAATTTAAACCATCTTCATTTTATGTATATATATATATTTTTTTATTAGGGAGGTATTGAATTTAGTACATCTACCGATACATACAATTTTTATGTTGAATATGCTTATAAAAGGGCGTTTGCCGTAAGAATAGAAATGCAAAAAAGATAATTCACAATGCATGCAATACATTGAGTATTTATTGTAACAAGAAAGAATATAATTTAAAGAGCATGTTTGATCCAAATAAATCAATAAGTAACTCAGAAGATATTAGCGCATCCTATATTCGAGTTGCTACATTAAGAAAAATACATGAAAAAAATAATTGTCATATTCGAGTTGCTACATTAAGAAAAATACATGAAAAAAAAATAATTGTCATATTCGAGTTGCTACATTAAGAAAAATATATAAAAGAAAATAATTTAGTATAATTTCAAGATAAGGTTCCAATATAATTTAAAGTTCTGCATATATATAAGGTCACATACTTTGATGATATTCACAACCATGCACGTGTTAGATCTTTCCAATTACAACATGCTCCTATCTAATAGATGTATACAGGATTGTCTCGGACTTTTTCAGGACCCTTAGCAAAAAAAAATGATAGGCCCTATGAATAATATTTTTTTCAAAATACTATCAACGAACAATATAATAATAGATTTCAATAAAATAAAAATTATATTGATCATATATACAATAAATGAAATATATGTGTTCCGTAAGGGACGACGGACTGGTGTGAAAGTGAACTGCCAGACCTAGTTTGTGATACGACTATTATAAAACTTTACAATATTTTGACTATTATAAAGTCAATAACTCAATAATAACTACAAAATTTAAATGCGATGAATGTAAAATTAGAAGAAAAAAAATTGTTAGAGTTTATTAGAATTAGAATTGGATTGGATAATTGTACAAACACAAATATGAGATAAAATTTAAATTAAATTTTAATATATCTAATAATAATTATGAGCTTTATAAATATTTACGAATTTTAAAGGCGAAAAAGATGGAATTTTAGAAAAATTATAGTTAGAATTTAATTTTAGAATTAAAATTAAACTAGGTAATTGTTGAAAAAATTTTGGGATTAAATTTTAAAATATTTAATAATAGCTAAAATTAAAAAATATAACCCCTCTTAAAGTAGGCCCTGAGCAATTGCTCCGATTGCTTCTACTAAGAGCCGGCCCTAGATGTATAGATTAATCATGTACCACAATCGCTGATTTATAGTGAAACGGGACTTTAAACTAAATCTTCGTATGATGTAATGAAGAAAGCAAATAGGGGCAAGAAAAGCACATGGGACTAAAATATGGAGAAGCAAGTGAATTGCTGTAATATTTTAGTAGAAATCGTTAAAAAAAATTTATTTTTTTTTTCTTTTTCATGAGCTTGAAGTCGATTCGGGTGATAGAATTATATATATTTTTTCGGTCAGATCCACATATGAGAACAAATTATGTTGTCTATGTTGATTTAATCACCTTTAACACTACATAGGAAACCAAGAGCAACTATAGGCCCCAAGCTAGGTGCATCTCACATCATATAATTGAAATAAATTTTGATATAGTATTAATATGTTGAAAATTGAATTAATTGAGTTGTATAAGTTTCTATGATCCAACAACAATATTTTTGAAGTCATTAGCCATTTTGAAAGAATGTTGCTAGCTAAAATAGATATCGATGAACAATTCTTTGCTAGCTACTCTTACTATCCAATTATGAAATTTGTTGCCCAATTCTATGCACAAAATGTTTTTCATATGTTCGAAAAATGTACTAGCAATAATTTCAATATATGGCAAAATGTTTATATCTAAATCGAACATGCATGGTCTATCATTGTGAACAAGCCACTAGTGGATTCTAATTTGTACATCTGTTTACGTATAGGGGAGACAAATCACGAGGCCAAAAGTCCATGTAAAATAAAAAATACTCCACAAATATTAACATTAGATGTATTCCAAAGATCGTCTGGATATGCCAAATATGTTTCATAATGGTGCAAGAGTGTTATATATATATTTTAAAAGGGGACATGAATTAGCTGCTGATCCGATCAAGTCAGCATGATGCTGATTTAACCGAATCAACATATGCTATAGGGGTGACTACATATATTTATACATATGTTATATTATAATAACTCAATATATGTTATCTTATAACACAACATATGCTGAGATATGTATACATATATATTGCAACATATGCTATAAGAGTGACCGCATATATTTATACATATCTCAGCATATTTATAATACAAACATATATTATATTATAATTCATCATATGTTATCTTGTAACACAACATATGTTAATATATATAAACTTATGTTGATCACCCCTATAATATATGTTAATCCGGTCAAATCAGCATCATACTGACTTTGCCGGATCAACACAGAAACTGCAACCTTTAGTAGAAGGAGTCCGGACGTATCAAATATAGTTGAGGTGTATAGATATAAAGGACACCCTTACTGCTTCTTGAATAAAAAATCACAGCTTAATTGTAAAAATAAAAATAAAAATAAATAAATAAATAAAAAGAGAGTAAGAGTGAGGAACGAGGGAAAGAATTACAATTCCAAATCTAAAGAGAGAAAGATGGGTACTTAATTTGGATGCATAACAAATGGCTCAATCTAAAGTTTAGATAAATATATTAGGTTTATTGACAATATTTAGATCGAAAATCAACAAAATATTAAAGTTTGTTATCAAGATCGCAAGAATATGTAATTTGAGAAGTTGAATAGTTTTAAAATTTAGATATAATTAGAAAAAATTAGAAAATAAATTAATTTTGTTAGAAAATATTGTTTTTATATCAAACCTAATAATCTAAATTAGTAGTGTTTGGACATATGTTGGGGTATATAGTTGAATTTTGGGTTGAAAATACCAAATAATAATAATAATAGAATTAAAAATGTTGAGATGTTTTTGGAACGTATTTTGAGATTGTGAGTGATATGGTGCCACTGAAATTGTGTGACCATAGTGGTATATATTCATTCAACGATATTTTACTAATACGACCCATGAATATTAATAAAAAATATAATATATACACACATTCATATATATATATATATAATATATTTATTTTTTAATAAAAAAATAATAAGTTAATGCAAAATATTATTTTTATAAATTATCAGCTGTTTGCTTATTCAATTAGCTGATAGTTGTTAGCTGATTCAATTAGCTGGTTTGACTAGCTGATTCGATTAGCTGTTTGTATTAAAATGTTTGGTAAAACAACCGTTTGATATTAGCTGTTTATATGTAAAATGACAATTGAGGACATTTCTATTTTATTCTTGTTTCTAATATATTCAATTATGTTCTTTTGAGTTTAAAATGTTTAAAAATTTTTGTTATTAGTTATTGAAAATTGTAAAAGTGTTATAAAAGTATTTATTTTTATTACAATTATATTTAAAAAATAATACATTTTTATTAAAATATATAAATAGTTTTTTTTATTGAAAATGATGTAAAATATAAAATAATAAATTTTTCGTGTATATATATTTATTATGTTAGTTATCGATTAATTCATTATATTTATAATTTTCAATAAATTTAATTTATTTTTAGTATAAAATTTATATAATGTAATTTTAATAAAAAATAAATTATTAATATTTATATTTTTTATTTTATGTTGATTTTAATAAATTTATATATTTTACAATTAAAATAATTTTTATATAAAAATTAATTATTTTAAATTTATAAAAGTAAAACTATAATATAATAAAATATTCTAATATAATTAATAAATCATCAAAATATATTTATTTGTGTA